ATGTAGATAACCGTTGTAACCTTCCGCCGTATCGGGTACGTGATCTAGATCTGTACCTACGCGGTAGTCAGCAAGTACATACCAAGCTAGCCAAGCCGTTTGCCGCGGCACGACAACTTAGAAAGGCGACGGCTTAGGGACCGGGTCACATCGAGCACGATCACGAATTTAGATGTAATTGCGGGGTTTACCCATAAGTAATCTACGCAGGCCCAGGGCTAGGACGACATAGGGATGGGTTGACCTTGTGCTAAATATTAGGACGGGTGGAGTCGACGTCTTTCGATCCTCTTGGACTCCTCCCTCTCCTTGGTATTCCGGGAATTTCCCCTCATCACCTCATCAGTCATCTCGCATGGTTCCAGGCGAGTGGCTTATGCGTTTCACCAAGTCCAAGCGAAGAACATCTCCCCGAGATGACCGCGACCCAAGATCTCGAATGATCCGGGGCATTCCTGGCTCCAGGTAGGATGGATGGGTGACAGGCATATCCCGCAGCAGCACGAGAGCGTATTTCGATGATTACTGCGTCGGTAACCGAATATTAGCAAGCGTAGGGCCGAATCCCCCAGCTTATCTAAGGTCCGCATTGGACTCAAGGTCGTCACGATATCAGATAGCTCTGGGCGACAAGTAGTCGTATACTATGTAGGGAAAGGCGGTTTACACACTCAGCTGATAAAGCCCGAGTACTTATACAACTAGCCGCTCTGGCCCTACCGCGAGGTGTAGAATGCGAATGCAGTAAGGCTAGACAGTCTGGACCCGACCTAGGTAACGAGTGATAGCCGTATTTATTAACGAAAGAGTCAAGTGGTATATTTCACGGGGGAGGCAAACGAGTCGTCAAGGGATCCGACTGGGTCGCGAAGAGACCTATGAGGATGGAAAGGCAGAGCCTCTCAAGCTTGGCATGGTCAAAGCTGGGGGTGAAGAACCCCCGTTCGTCTTGCATGCTGACATGGTGCTTAGCAGTTCTTACGCGATGCTCTAGAAACCCCTGAGAGACCGTTGCCGGCGATGCTGTGCGACACCAAGTCTCCTGAGGGGTTCCTCAGATGGTTGATCTCGCGTTCTTCTTAGTCGCATTTAGCATATGCCGTGTCGTCCCCTTGTCTGCTTTACTACAGATATTCCAATATCGCGGGGGTGTCGGATCGGTACCTTAGGGGGGGTAAGGTCGTATCCCATCGACGTCTGGGATAGGTAATAAAAGTTGCAAGTCACACCACATCAAAAATCTTACTACATGTAATATGCAGTACGACGCACTCTTTTTTATTCTCTCCCCCACCCCTAGTCGGCCAATGTCCCATTACGTACGTAGTTGCATGTGAAAAAAAAGGACCCTTCAGATTTATTATTTTGTTTCTTTTTTTTGTCTTCTCGGCTTCGCATTGGTCTCGAATCGTAGCCCCTCTAATACATCTATGAGGAATCCGAAGACGTCCATGCAGACTAGAGTCACAATCTATTCCCTATTTTTGCCCTCCAACCGAATCCATCCCTGACGTCTTCCCACACACTAATCCGTACCAACCATTTTGCTTTTGGTCGAAATCGAGCGCGAAAAAGAAAAATGCTGCATGCCGAATTATGCGACGCGAGAGAAATATAGGAAATGAATATGCTACCTGCCCGTCCCGTAGAAGCCGCCTGATTAAGTATCGCACGGCAACCGCGCGAAAATGAGTTTTCTCTAGCTCATTCGCCGTCCACTATGCTAAAACCCTAAAGCCGTCAACTCATTATTCGGGTGTGCTAAAACCCTTCCTCCGCCTTCCCTGACGAAGAATTAAGACCAGGTGCCGTTTTAAAGGGGGGGGTTCGTAGAATAACCGATGTAAAACAATGTCCGAAAAAATCAAAGACCAATGCCGTGTTATAGGCTGAAAGCTATTGGCCGCAATCCATGTCTCAGGTAGCGGTCTTATACCGTATGAGTACCGTTTTGACCTCTTCCGATAAACCATTCGGTGAAACGAATCGTAGATATAAAATTCATGAATCGTAAAATGCGTAACCTCCCGTCGGGAGGCCGTAATCATCCGTGGCAAAATAGCCGAATAAGGATCCGCGACGGAACAAAACCCCCACGTGCTACTAGGATAGTCCAGCAACCACAGAGATCGACGGGATCTCTCTCTCGTAGTCGAGAAGTGGTTCTTTCTCGGAATATTTGGTGCGGTGGTTGCGCAAGGCCAAGGCGTTGTTGATCATACGTTCGAGATCATCATGTCGAGGCGAAGGCGTCGCAATGCTGTTGCTCCTTCTGGGACGAGGAGACATACGCAAGGCATCGTTCGCATCACCATCGGGTCGGCTACCCCAAGAGGTCTGTTACCGCATTAGCATTAATATTAAAAGCCAAACGCTTCAAGCTATGCCTTACCATGTTCAAGGTTATCAGAGCGTATAGCTTGATCAAGCCGTGGAAGTAGCCGAATATGATGGAGACCGGGAGGAAGATGATGTCGGCCGGGTTACGCCGAAAGAGCCCGATAAGCTTGACCACCTTAGTAAACGCGAACATGTAGATGAACTGAGCCCAGAACCAGCGCTGGCGGACTTCCAAGTCCCAACCCTCGGTACCCCACCAGAGTGAAGCTAGTAGAAGGGGATCCACGAGGAAGGCTAAGGAAGTAAAGGTTGCAATATGAAGAGCGTAAGTGGACCATGGTTGTTGACTAAGACGCGAGACGATAGTTAGTTTATGAAAAAGCGACTTTGTTGGGGTACGTAGTATAATGTTACAAGGGGACAAGGGGACAAGGGGACAAGGGGACAAGGGGGGGAGAATATGGGGACAGGGGTTTAAACTAAAAAAGGCAGTTAGAAAAAACTTACGTAATCACGTATCTCTCCCGAACCAAACTCGTCCAGTTGCTTCGCCAGTTGCTTCGTGCCCACCGCGAGCACTGATAGAGAAATTTAAGGCCGTTTTCGAGGGTAGTTTCGATCTCACATTCGCGCTCATACTGAATCCAGGTTTTCCATTGGTGGCTCACCAGCCAGCGGGTCACGAAATTGTCGTCGTCAGCGTTCAGGATATAATCGCGCCATCGCTCGGTCTTGAATCCCTCTAGAAAGTCGTGACTTGACAGGATCTCCGATCGGTAAGCCCCGGTACGACCAGACATGCAAGAAGTTCCTCCGTCAACATTGTGGGTAGCCGAGATCTCGAAGTTGCGGCGCTCGATGTAGGCTGCTCCGAGCCAGTTGAAGATCTGAGTCGACAGGGATCCGTCCGGCTCTCGGCGTACACGTTGACAGGTGCCAACGCCTCCGATCTTGGGGTCTTCGAAGGGCGCAAGGATCCACGGGATGAGAGTGGACGGCCAAGTAACGTCGTCGTCTGCCATAATAGTAATTTCGGTCCTCACCTTGGGAAGCGCCTCGCAGACTTGAAGTCGCTTGTTGGCGATGGGCCCGGACATCACGCGAACATTAGAGGTCGAGAGGGTCTTCACCAGTCTTTCCAGCGCCGCGTGCTTATCCAACGTTGTCACGAGGATCAGTTCAAACGGTCGACAAGCCAGGATACTCTCCAGTGAGGGACGAAGCTCCTCGAAGACGTTGTGGATGGTAGGAATAATGACCGTCACGTCATTGGAGCAGTATTTAGGCTTGATGGGAATAGGCTTCGACTTGTAGGTCCAGTGGCTAACCACGTGAACGATCAGACGCAGGTAACGATGCACCCTGGTGGAAAGTTAGATATTTCAGAGCTTCGACCGGAAGTTATCCAATAGTAGATAGTAGAAATCGTAGCAGCTGTGAATGCGCAGAACTTACCACAAGAACCAGAAAGTGTACCACCAGAAGTCTGGCGATGAAAGAAAACCGAGGGGCACGTGAAAGAAGCCCCCCGGCAAGGCTGTAGTGATGCCCATCGTGGATAATTCTCTGCGGGAGAGATTAGAGATCCAGATAGACGTATTAATGTATTGTGACGTCTTAAACGTCGTTGTCAGGAATTCTATTAGGAAAAGTCCAAATTTTCCAATTTGTTATTCCTATTGATTCCTGTTTTAATTAGGAAGTTGCTGAAGACGCGTTGCTTTTGCGTACGAGCCGGTCGTCTGAGTGATCTCCCGGGAGAGAAGTTGACCAGTCCCCACCAGGTGCCAGGTGTCTATCAGTCGACTTCCAAGTGACTAGATGTATTGGGTCAGCTGTTTGCTTATTTCTCTTTCTTTTTGCCTTTTGCCTCGGAAGGAAGTAACGAGCAAGGTAAATAAGGTAAATTCCAATTTGCGGGGAGGAGCTAGGATGCAGTTGGTTTGTGGTAAGAGCCGCAATAAATAGAAACCGCAGCCCCTCCAAGAGGCAACCGCAAGCATGGAAGTGACGAAACAAACTTGCAAAGCGGAGCAGGTGCGGCGTTATATGCGTAATCGGGGAAACGGCAATGACGGGACGGAAAAGGAAAAGAAGTGAATATTTACCTATTCAATAGATTAGGACGTGACGTGCACCTATCGTCCGAAATCTGGACTCGACGAAGTGAAGTCACGCGTAGTACGAACGGGGGAGGAGGGGGGCATAAAAATCAGACGAGGCCCTTCTTTGCGTCCGTGATTAATAGACGTAATTAGGAACAACAGACGAAACCGGGACTGTGCAACGGTGGCAACTATTAGTAGTCCCTCGTGGCGTGAGATCTCCGATGAATGTATTGTAGACAACGACAGAATGAAGAAATCCCCGAATCCAAGACCTCGAAACGAGAGTTTGTCCTATCGACCGGGCGAGAAGAGCAACCTCGAGCTCCCTCTTGTTTCTTTTCCGGGCGAGGCGAATCTAAGCCGAGACGGAGGCAGGGCCGGTAACAACAATATAATACACAACAGACTAAAGGAAAACCCTAAAGAAAAGAAGCCATTACGATGATCAATGGGCTTCCAGAGGACATAGGAGAAGTCGTCAAGATGAAGCCAGCGGGCCAGACCCGGGGAGAGGAGGCAAGGATAATATATAGGCAGATGGACCCATATGACCCCATCGAGGAACGGTCGATGTGTATACCTACCTTAACTATTTCCCCTACATACATACGTAAACGATGGACGATGCAATGGGACATAATTATGGGGATATAATTATGGCTAAGAAGATAAGTAGGGGGCATAGCAAAGTACGAAGAGACATGTAGGCGTATGTAGGTGTATGTAGGTGTATGTAGGCATGTAGGCACGTAGGCATATTGGCAGGTAGACAGGTACCGTACCTACATACATGTAGTCTCGTACATGCGTACATGAGTAAATACATGAAATAATACTAAATAATAATAAGTAAGGGTAGCGGAGATGTAGAGTAGTGCTTAGATCGACCCGTATGCAGCTTGTAGATGATGGGAACAGGTACCTTGCCAAAAAGAAGACATGGAAGTGTGTATAGGTTAATAATACTTTGGGGACCTTGGGTCCGACGTGCATATTATTACGATACTAATAACGAATAACGAATAACGAGAGCGAAAAATAAAAATAAAAATAAACCTAAGAGCTTTAATCTTAGACCACGAACTAAAAGGGAAAAGAAAAGACATAAATTGATAAAAACCGAGCATATGAAATATAAATATAATGTATTAATTTCAAAAGGGACGTCAAGGCCGAAACAACCTTACAATGCTACCTGCCCAGGCTAGGTACCAAAGGATGTTCATGTAGGTTAAAGAGTAGGTAGGAAAACCAATGTCACATAGGTTATAATAGACACCCCGAGCTTGCTTATCAAAAGCAGCTGGGGAAAGTTGAATACAACCGAATAAGAAACGAGACGCAGACCGAGAGAAAAACAGGAATGGTAAAATTACTCCCCTTTTTTTTTTCACGATTGCTATTTTGCTCTTCTCAGTTGGTACTTCTCGAACTGATTGAAAGAGTGCGTGACGGATAGAGGTTAGAGGTTAGTTAGAAAAAAAGAAGTGACTGGATTTTTTTGATTTTTTTTTTTTAGTTAGAAGAGGAGAACTTGAAAAAAATTCATGGTTTTCCGGAGCCACCTATTTCCAGTTTGACCAGTTGCAGAAGCGGCTGCTGCTAAGAAATGTCCGGTTTTGGAGGTTGGGGTCGGGGTGGGCGTACTAGATTTGGCTAGTTAAAACTGCTGGGGCCAATGTGGAACGGGGATTCTACCTACTCTAATTCTCTAATATTAAATATTAACTCTCTACCTAACTGAAGAAGCTCAGCAGCAAGGACGAGGGGCAATGGCGGCGCAGTGGATTGTAAAGTAGGTACCGCATGTAGTGGGCATGGTAGACAGGGAAAGCGCAGTGGGGTTTATGTTTACAGGGCACCGGGGCGTGTATAGATGTAGATGGTACTGGAGCTCTCTAAAGTTTAAAAGTCTAAACCGCGTTAGTTCGATAGCAAACTTCCAGCTGCACTAAACCAACTACTAAGGTTAGTAGGTACCTTTCACAGGGCTCTTTGAGCGGCTACCGTAGCGAAAAGCAACTAAGCGGAGCACCGTGCAGCGTGTATCCAAGCTATCCAAAGATGCCTAGGCTATTACTTTGCAGACCCTGGAAAACTAAAAAACTACCTAAGAAAATGGGGTTAATTCTGGGAAAACGTGCTATCTTCTCGGGTACTTGGCCGGTACATTGCAAGACTTGGACGAATACTTGCAATACAACATTAAACACCAACCAGACCTACCAGACCTACACCAAAGAACCATCCCATCGTGCGGCGATACGTTTACAAGAATACGAATAATTATCCGTGTGAGGTGGATGATAGTGACCTGATTTTCTATCATCTGTATTTTTGTTTGCTCTTTCTTCTCACTGGTGTACCACAATAGAAACACGAGATTCGTAAATTAACTATATGTAAGTGAATGGTTTCTCTTCCGAAGTTCGCATGTATTGTTGACACATTAAATAAAAGGGCTATGAGAGTAGTATGCGTAGCATATGTAGGTAAATGTTGGCAGATGTTGGCATATGTACGGTACATGCGTACGGACTGAACGAGCTCGTGAGAGTTCGGCCCTGTCACTGGTCAGAGCTGATTCTGGGGCCCTACGGCTCACAAGTCGCTAAGACCTGTCGAGCCGACTAAAGATCCCGGGTCTCAGGCGAATCAGGCTCGAGATGTGCTCCTGTGGAGCGCAAATCGATCTTCACAGGAACGGCTCCGTATACAATTTCGAACGATCTCGCTCTTGGCGATTGGCTAGAGGTTCACCCGGGCTGTCTACTAGTGAACTTAGCGCTGATCTGTAGCCTCCACGATGGACGCTGTCAGTGGGATCAATGGGATCAATGAGCCCTAAAATTACGAAGGCGCTGGGGAATTCCCTGTGCGATGGCGAAAGCACGAATTCCCCGTCTGCTGAATGGAGGGAAACATCCTATTCCTCCTCCCTTTAGACGTTATATGAAGATCTATATAATGGCCAAGACACGGGTTATAGTAGCCGCGCGAGTAGAAGATCCGAGAGCTTAAAGCGTGCGGCCCCCAACATTCGTCAATACCTGTCAGTACATATAGCAGCTAGCTGTAAGTATTCATCATTCGTCGATATTTATCAAACGGGTAACCCTCCCGGCAGCAGCAGCGTGCCGAGTACCCAGTTAATAAAACCAGGCTATAAGATAGGACACAACATATATCTCTAGAGTCGTCGTCTGGAAAAGCTTCCTCGGTTCCGCTTGTCCATGAGTGCAACGCGCCCCAGGCATACGAGAATCATCGCTGTCCCCTATCAGCGTTTGATAATACGTATTATACTACTTAACCTCGTCACGGCCACCTGTCATTGGAGAAACCGTGACGACTTTGCGTCTACGTGGACGTCTAGAAACACTGGGTCCGGTGAACCGTGCCTGTAAGTAGCACGGGTCTCGCCAGATTTTGGGTTGGATTCGATACATCATTTAATTCACGGTGATCTGGAAAATTCCATTCACGGCGGATTTTCCAGAATTCGTGGCGTGGTTGGCTCCATGCAGAAGCAACTGAAACCTCTGCGTGTGCGCGTTGCTATAATAACGATCTACTAGGAAGTAGTACCGGGTTGGTCCGGCCCCCCGTGTGTTGAAGTTACACTGTCGCCCCTCCGTATGTTGGTTCAGACGACGATACCTGCATATTTGCTCGTCGTCGGTGGTACTTATATGTCAACCCCCACAGATTCATTATGTAAGGCAGCGGGAGGTTCCATATCAAATACCGTATGCGCGTATGTGCGTGCGTACAGCTTGCTAGTATGGCGTATAGAGTATAGCTTGGACAGCTTCTCCTATCGCCGCTGCTGCTGCTGCTGGTCTCTTGTTCTGGCGTTGGCGTTTGCCAGCCACTTACACGACACCCCGTTCTCGAAATTGCGCATACGGTAGGTCGACTAGCACGTCCCGCTGCTGGAGTTGTCGTGCTATTGTCCCGCAAACCGCGTCTACGCAGCCACCCCCTTAAAGAAGATGCTGATGATACCTATTAATCGCGATGGTCGACGTAACGTATCGCAGCACAGTATCAACGCGTCCTTATTTTTTTTTTTTTTTAAGTATTATTTTTCGCGCCTCCCCTACTGACAAGGGAAGAGGGAGAAATTTTCAAACAAGAGTCTTCTTTGCTCAGGAATAGGTGATAAGATGAGATGTGCATGCGTCCTTGCCGCAAAGACAGGCAAGACATTGGAAGCCATGAAAGGCTGAGGCTTGGTTGTCATTCTGCGAGGTGTTATTATTCCTCGCTGGTGCAACTTGGGTGTATTTATTTCCGGTAGAGTCGCAAGATTTAATGCAGCCTGCAAGACCAAACAACGACCTGCCGATTGAAGACTGCTGCCGACAGGGTTCGACGGCCGTCATAGTCCCCTATCCTGGTTTTCGAATTATGATATACCTACCATTTAGATCAGTCGGCCGATAATAAACAGCAAACGTGCGCAGGTCGGCCGCGCCAAGATTCCCCAACTTGTACAAGTAGCATTACAGGGGGGTGGGAAGCACAGCGCCGTGACACCCCCGACGATGATCTCGCCCGCTGTTACACGGCGCCGAGCGCTACACGACAGAATCGCGCAAATAGGAAAAAAGACAAAAGATGAAGCAGACTTCCCCAGCCGAAGGCCCCCCATAGGTATCCGCCTTGTGGGCGAGAGAGAGTGGGCGCCGCATAGCACAGCGTCACACGACAGCGCCCCTGGAGAGGTCCCTGACGAGGATCCGTGAGCGTCCTGTCCGTCAGCGAGCGTCGACCCGGGATATTAGGACAAAGTTGAGGCTGGGGTAACCTGGGACGATCTCGAGCCATTGGCCAATGACCTGATCTACCGTACCGGCATGCAATATCGGGCCTTGTTCCTAGCCAGCTAGCATGGTTCACCGTTCCCGGCGTGCTCTGGCGCAATCCAGATTCGGTCAGCGTCATGTACCTTGCTGGAATATCATTTACAGATCCATCTATTGCAAGCCGCAAATGTACATGCAGACTATGTAGATCTCTCGTTTTTTCGAATCTTGATTTCCTATTCCAACGTATCTGCCGCGGAAGACAGTGCAACGCCTTCCTGTATGACCTACATACATGATGCCATACGCCAGGATACACCCAATCACCACGGTCCTATAGTGTAACCGTAGTTGCATCTCAACCAAGGTCGAGCGACGACAGTCGAAATCATTACGATGGTCGTAGTGGGATTGAGGGGTGTACCCGAGGCTCCGAGCCCCACGTATCCCATCTTCTATTATACAAGATTAGGTGCGTGTCCTCTTGGGAGACGACGGCATTTGCCTTCTCATGCCTAACATTTTATTATATTCGTTTACGTACAGATGGCGTAGACGTTTCGGGTGACGTACACTTCCGCACGGTAGGACGACAGCCAGGCGTCTTTCTAATATTCTTTACAGTATTATTGATTGCCTTTCTCCTCGGATTATTACTACTCGAAGATGAAATCGACAAAGACTTATTTGCAGCGTGGGGATGATGCTGTACGTATAGTGTAGATGCAGCTCGACGCTTTGGGGACGAACCCTGGGTCCCCTAATAAGCTGTGACCATGCTAGTCATCCCAGGGATTGGCCTGCCAGCCTGCGTACATACTAACATACATACATACATACCTAGGTACATAAGTTTCGACAAACCTGGAGTCGGCTAGTTCCACGTAACACCATATAGCTCTATCCGTGACCTTTTTATTTGATTAACCTTTCCTCTCTCTCTCCTGTCCCTTCGGCTGCGAATCCCGTACTCCTGGTATGATCGCCGATGAGGCTGCTAGAGACGTAGATGTACTCCGCGCTCCGTCCGTCGTCTGCTTTCATTTCTAGCGTATCATCAAACCATGCCGTTAAGAGAGTCCAACCACAGAACCTCACACGAAATATAATAAACCCTTGGGCATGGCGTGTCTTGCATGTTTGCCGGAATGGCACCCTAATCATACCGGATATCCAACAAGCTTGAATCGGGGCTCGCCTGAGGCTGGCCAACGTCTAGAATCATACCAGCTCCCTCAGAGGCTGTATGATGCCTCTATCGAGCAGGGTTTCGCATCTATGTATTACTACTCTACAGTACTATGTAAC